GTTACTTGATTACATTCAATTGTTATAAATTCTCTTTCTCTCTACCCCCTGTAACCGAACTTCTGCCATTCACAATTACATATACTTTTAATTAAGCTTTCCTCATCAATATTCGTTTTTTTTTTATTGTATTAAAGCTCTTACAATTCCTGTTCTTCAGTTGTATCTTCCCACTCTTCCATTAGTCCAAGAATCTTGTGTTTTATATCCAGGACATCTTACTCACAGCTAAAATACAACGACCCTCAATAAAAAAAAAGATTATCCTGCTATCTTTTCAGTAAAATAGACCCATTTCAGTTCCGTTTCCTTTCGAGCGCTATGCTGCTCATCAAACGTTAAAACAACATAAAATGTAAAACTTTTCGTCTAATTTTCTGTCTCCGTTTTCTTCGATAATTCCAAGTTTTATTCATTTTTCCAACTTTCTCCGAGGAGTAATCGAAAGAATGAGAAAAGATATTAATATTAACATGGGTGATAAAGACGAGGAAAGTGTATTTTATGTTTATTATTAAGATACACAGATGCGATATTAAAATCAAGTCGAGGTTTTATTTCGTGTCTATGTTGTCATTATCCTAATTCACATGGTGGAATTTATGGTTCGAGTGTGTACCTATGCATGTGTGTGTGTGTGTGTGTGTGTGTGTGTGTGTGTGTGTGTGTGTGTGTGTGTGTGTGTGTGTGTGTGCGTGTGTATGTGTGTGTGTGTGTATGTGTGTGTATATGTGTGTACGTGTATGTGTGTATGTGTATATTTTCAGCCACACACACGCATGCTCTTCCCTTTTCCTATCCTCCTCCCCCCCCTCCCCTTCCCCTCATACCACGCCCGTGCATGACTCCCTTCCTTCTCGTTATCCTCACGCACCTCCCACCCCCCCCCCCCCTTCCCCTGCCGCCCCTCTTACACCACGCCCGAGCTGCCTTACCTTCCCTTCACCTCCTGTCCTTTCCCCTCTCTCCTTGTCCTTCTTCCACTTCCCCTTTCTCCTTGTCCTTCTTCCACTTCCCCTTTCTCCTTGCCATTCACGTTTCTCTTCCCCTCTCTCTTTACCCTTCCCCTCTCCCCTTCCCCTTTCTCTTCCTCTCTCTCCCTACCCTTCCCTTTCCCTCTCTTCCTACCCTTTCCCTCCTTTCCCCACCCCAACACTTCCCGCCCATCCTACCAACTAACCGCTTCCTCCCCTCCCCTACCTGCCAACCCCCCTCCCTCCTCTAACAACTAACCCCCTCCCTCCCTCCCTCCCCTACCAACCAACCCCATCCCTTCCCTCCCTCCCCCAACCAACCCCCTCCCTCCCTCCTCCTCCCCTCCCCAACTCCCTCCCTCCCTCCCTCCCTCCCTCCCTACCGTCCCTCCTCCTCCCTCCCTCCCTTACCAACCAACCAGCCCCTCCCTCCCCCTCCCCCTCCCTACCAACCAACCCCCCCTCCCTCCCTCCCTCCCCAACCGCCAACGTCCCTCCCCTCCCCTCCCCTACCTACCGTCCCTCCTCCTCCCCCCTCCCTTACCTCCCTCCCTCCCCTCCCCCCTACCGTCCCTCCTCCTCCCCCCCCCAGACCACCCACCCCCTCTCCTTCCTTTGGCGCCAACGCGTCTGACTCCGCCACCGGACATGCGCTCTCGGTCGCTATTGAACTTTCAACCAGCGAACTTCTTGAACGCGTGACGGGGCGTGGTCTGTCGTGGTCCTGTGCGTTGTCGTTGAACTGAGGGCGTGTCAGTGTTCATTCCTTGTTCAGCGCTGTGTGTTGTCTCATTTGCGAGGAGGTACAACGCGTCTTCTTGTTTTTTTTTTGAAAGAGAAGAGAGTGATGGTGTTCAAAGACTTATTCTGTTTTCTTTGTTGGTATTCTCTTGTGGAGAAATGCGCATCAGAGTATTCATTCGTTTTGTGGTGGGCGGTGATTTGGACGTGTGAGTTTCGGTTGTAAAGGAGGTTGGCAGGGTTGTGTAGGTTGTTGTGGAAGGCAGAAAGTGCTATACATTTATATTTTGTGTTCAGGCGAGTTTTATAAAAACATGTAACTATTGTCAAGTTTCTCTTCCTTCAGTACGAAACAAGAGCGACAGGAAGACATTACAATACACACAAAAAAATTAAAAACTGTCATGTCTTTGTTATGTTTATGTTCGAAATATATAAATATAATAGGTACGTAGCCCCTCTTGTGATAT